TTATATATTGTATGTTGCCATTTGGCAACAAAAAAATAAACACAAAAAATTAACCACATCGACGCACTGTTGCCAATTGGCAACATACCATTTTTTTCGTATGTCATCCACCTATGATGACAAATATCAAACATAAGCTCATTTAATATCAGTTCAAACATTAAATTTAACATTCTTTATTTTTTATAACAGGAATTATCATTATGTGATATAAAAAAACAGCTTGTACTTACTGGATTCGGCGGAAAAAATTGTAGTCAACTGTGACCGTCTAAAATGTGTTCTTACATAAAAACTGCAAAGCGAAAGTGAAGAGTTCTTCAGGATAAAAGTTTGAAACCTCATAATTGAAAAGGGGAACCACTCCAACAAATTAAAAATTGGGCTTGCAGTACTAGCAGTAGTGTAATTTCGCTTTGTTGCCAAATGGCAACATTGCGTAATAGAGGGTTAAGAATATTTTAATTGCATAATTTTTTCAGACAAAATAGTATTTTTTGCAAACCATAAAATATTATTTTCCTCAGTTAAGGAAGAAAGTCTTTTTGCAAGACTTACAATAGTCAGAACAGGTGGAACATATGGGCAAGTTAGTGCACTATTTACAACCCAGGCAGGCACTGCTACAGCAGATCTGGATTATGTATCAAGTACTGGTCAGATAGTGATGGAGGACAGAGTCCAAAATGTTACTTTGAATATAAGTATAATTGATGACTCACTGATGGAGTCTAATGAAACTTTCAAAGTGCAGCTGTCCAATGTCACTGGTAAGTTCAACTGATTGGAAATAAGTTAATTTATATACAAAAGAATTATAGGAATTATAACATTCCCAGCCTGTGGCTAGTGTACCAAATTAGAGAAATGAAGTCATGTCTTTTTATTTGGGGGCATCCGTAATTTGAAAAAATGCAATGAGCCACTGAAAATGAAACATTATTTTACTCTAATTGGAATTATTTAATTTAGCTTTTACATAATGAAAGTAAACTAAATAACTTTCAGTTAAAAAATCTTGAATTGTGTGATAATGACGACATGTCACTAACTTATTTCTCCTTGCCTATGCCATTTTTCTAGGTGGAGCATTGCTAGGTGCAGTTAACGTTGCTACAGTAGTTATTCTTAAATCAGATTATCCAAATGGTAACTTTTTGTTTCGAGGCCCATTATTTTTGGATTTACCGAATCCTGCAACACCAACTAAACAAACTTTATCCATAGAGAGAACTGGGGGAGCTCTAGGCCAACAACAGGTTTGCTTTATCTTTTTAGGTGCTTGTTAAGTTACTTCATTTTTTTTTTTAAATCGTTAAATTAGCTTCCTCAACTATTCTACAATATCATTATTGCTAGTGCAACAATTAAATTTAAATGATTCTATACCTTGGTCCTTTATAGGTATTCTGGCGAATAATGGGCCCTAACAATGCCATGCTTCAGTTAGTGGGAACAGGGGATATAAGCAGTGTCGTTAATAACCAGGATGTCACCCAGGGATCCTTAACCTGGCAGGATGGAGAGTTAGGGGTCAAGCAACTGGTCATTGACATAAAAACCTACACTACATGGGAAGTGGAGAAGTCATTTGTTGTTGAGTTGTACAGAGTCTCTGGTACTCCAACAGGAGTTGGAGATGGAGAGGTGGTTGGTGTGCAAGGCAAACTGACCATCAAGGTGAGCATAGCACACATAAATGTCTTGACAATTGCTTTTTGTTTAAAATATGGCAGTGTTCTGGGATATTTTGAATTAAAATAAATAAAATATGCTGAATCTCTAATGCTATATTTATACATTTATTTTGTACAGGGCTGGCCTAAGTTAATTTGATGCCCCAGGCAGTTCTAAATTTTTCCTTCAAATTTCGGGTTGATATTTAATGTTCATAATTTTAAAATGTGTTGCTGAAGAAGATAGAATGTAAGGAGCCTTAAAAAACAGTCTTATTTTGATAACTTAGTATAAACAATAAAACATAAATATCATTTAGATTTAATATTGAACACAAAAATAAAATAATCTGGTTGAAATTAAAATTGCTATGTTAAAAAGGTATAGCCTAAGGGGTTTGTATTTACAGGACATCCCTAAAAAATATGCATCTTTTCCACCCCCTACCCTTTGTCCACCCTTTTCCATGTGTTGCTCCTTTCTGGGCTGCATATATCCACATACAGCATTATACAGAATGAAATGCCAGAGATTATAATTATGATTATAAAGAGCAAGGGTAACCAGATTTAAACTACTGAGTATGATAATATAAATAATACAATTAAAATCAACCCAACCAGTGGATTCAAGAAGTTTTCTAAAAAGCCAAAACTCACATTGTTTATAACAACAGCAACCAGTTATTTAGAAAGATCTTCATGAATTTTTTAAAACTGGTTTCAGATTATACATATTTTGAAAGTAATTCAATTACCACTTGCCAATTTTTCGATTCAGGTTAACAGATTTGGAGATCCCAGTGGTGTAATCAGATTTACTGGTACATCAGTTGACGCCAGACAAGTTTTAGAACCTGATGGAACTACACCTGTACCTTTAGTGTTTCCTGTTACAAGAAGAAATGATACCGGTGTCATTGGAAATATTCAGGTATAAAAATGTGCAAAAATCTTATTTTATATTCTCTGTATGCAATTTTCATTAATAAAATTAATTATTTTATAATAAAGGTTCTATTAAAGATAACTCAATCAATGTTTGAATTGATTTTTTAGAATAGTTTTAATCTTAATCAAGTATTAAATATTTCAGATTTACTGGGAAGTAAAAGGAACTAGTACAGACAGCCCTGATGTTCAGCCCTTGCAAGGATCCTTATCACTAGGGGATGGTAGGAGAGATGGTCAAATTACATTACAGATATTACCAGATGATATTCCTGAACTGACTGAGACTTTTACACTAATTTTAGTGAAAGTTGAAGGAGGAGCACAAATAGACACACAGTTCAATCAATCTACTTTCAGCATCAAGTCAGTCAATACATATTTTAGTCAAATGATTTAATTTCTAAACTCTATTTCAGCTAAAGGAATGGTTTGTTAAGTCTCTTACATGAATAGGCTATCTGATTCTATATAGCAAATAAATTAAACTTATCTATTTTAACAAATGTATTTAATTACAATTGAGGATAGCATTTAAAATCTATTGTGGTGAGCTTTTATGTATTGTTTTCAATTTTAGTTTGACAATGTCTTAAAAATTTGTATAATGTTCTTATAATATTCTATAAATCAAATTTATGCTTAACTAGCCTCTGCTTTCCATTCTACTTTCCATCCAACAATGAAAGGATGTAAGTTTTATGATTAATTTAATGTTTTTTCTTCAGATACAATGATATTCCACATGGAGAGTTTGGCCTTGTTCCTACATCTCAGTCAGTAGAAGTAAATGCTGCAGATTTAAGCAGACAAGTGAAGTTAAACTTTACACGGTTTTACGGAACATTTGGATCAGTTTTATTGACATTTAATATTGGCTATGATACTGTAAGTATTAGAGTCTCTCAGTTGTCTGCTTCTTTGATGACTAGTTGCACTTGTTTATTTTTTAAAATACCGATTAAATCATTTGTTATGCTTGTAAAAATATTTTGGAGGTTTAATTAAAATAGCTTAATGTTAGGATAAAATGGTTGGACAGCACTAATGATTACAATTGATAGAAAGATAATAGCCATAGATGTGAGTGTGCTTATAGTTAGTGTCTTTTCTTATAGTTAGTGTCTTTTAATATTACAAGAGACATTGCTAATTGTGTGGAGTCTTAACAATGTTTACTAATGAATTCTTTTATCCTGTTTTATTTTGAAAGACCGGCACTGATGTGGCCCTCAGTTTGAACACAGGAACAGTAACTTTCACCAATGGTTCAAGTGAGGTCATCACCCTGGTCACCATAACAGGGAATGCTTTTCTGAAACTTGGCTCAACATTTACTGTGTATATAACAGATGTCCAGTATTTAGGATCAGGAAGTAAGAAATGTTTACCACTTAAACTTGAACAATCAAAATGATTACATTAGCTGGAAATCTCTGCATTGATCTCACTCATCAACCATTAAGGCATGGTAGATTTTTAAAAAGAGGATTTTCGGAATGTAAACCTGAGTAATCAGGCTAACCATGGAAGTCCGAAGGCAGCAACCAATTTCTGTTAAAAACTGTCTTTGATTGGCCAAGTGGTCTGTAGTTGAACACAATTAATGGCCAAGAGCTGGTCATGAACTCTGATACATAATGAGATATAATAAATTATCCTCTCTTTCTCTCTCTCAGTCTCTATCTCTCCATCTCCCAAGATGCGCTTGAGTGCCCTATACCTATAGAGAACATATTATCATTGATTTAATATTAACTGTACTCTAATGCGATTTAGTCTGACATTCATATTTAGTATGCTTACTGGCTTTACCTAAGCTAAAGTTTAGCTGAAAATATTTAAATCATAACCTTAAGATTAAGGGTGTTCAATTTTAAATTTTCATTGACTTTATTTCCATAATTCTCCAAATTATCTTTCTTCTTCTTATGCCTTCTTACCCCACCTCGACAACAATTTTTCATTCATCACCATCCTGTGTTTTCCTTTCCAGTTGCTCCCAGGTGTATCCCATATTTTGTGTGTCTGCCTCTAGCTTGCCTCTCCATGTATTCTTTAGCCTTCCTCTTTTCCTTTTTTCCTGTGGGTTCCATGTTAGCGATTGTCTGGTGATGCTACCTGGGGGTTTTTGGAGAGTATGCCCTATCCACCTCCATCTTTTCTTTAATATGTCTTCATCAATGGGCACCTTTTAAGTCCTTTCTACTAGATCTATGTTAGTGATGGTATTTGGCCATTTGATGTTCAGGAATTTTCTAAGACTAGTGTTTATGAAGGTCTGTACTTTCTGCGTAATGCTCTCAGTTGTTGACCAAGTTTCTGCTCGGTGTAGTAGGACTGATGAAATTTGTGTTAAAGATTCTGACTTTGGTTTGCAGCTTCAGCTCCTTCGACTCCCATTTAATAGCACAAATGCTGATCTAGCTTTTCCAATTTTAGCCCTTACATCAGCATTGGATCTGCCATTTATGTCGATGGTGCTGCTTAAGTATATGAAGGACTCCACTTCTTCCAGTGCCTTTCCTGCCAGAGAGATATGCTCTTGGTTCACTGAGTTTACCTTCATGTTCTTTGTCTTGCTTTTATTTATATTGAGTCAGAGCTGGGCTGAAATTGTGGCTACGTCTTTCGTCTTTTCCTGCATTTGTTGCTGGTTGTGGGACAGAAGTGCAATGTCTTCTGCAAAGTCTAGGTCATTCAGTGGTTCACAGAGTGTCCACTGTTTCCCGTTCCTGTTTTTGTCTGTGGATTTTTTTCATTATCCAGTCAATGGCAAGGATGAATAGAAATGGGGACAAGAGACATCCTTGCCTGACTCCAGTTTCCACTTTAAAGTCGTCTGTGAGTCTACCTTCTTGGACCACCCTGCATGTCATTTCTTTATAAGAACTCTGAATGATCCTGACTAGTTTTGCTTGTGCTCCATACTTCCGAAGAAGTTTCCACAAGGTTTGTCGGTCTAGGCTATCAAAGACCTTTTCGTAGTCTGTAAAATTTATAAATCAAAATATAGGCCCATATTAATTATTGATTCCCTTCATATTTTGAAAAAAAATCAAAGAAATAATTTTTTGGCTAGATTTAGTTTATGCCTCATATTTTAAAAGATAAAGATCATGTTAATTGATAATAATCATATATGAAAGTTTCTGCCAAATATAAATAGCAATTAAAAACAAAGAAATGTATACTTTATATTATGTAAAAAAAAAATATTAAAAAAAAATTGTTTCCAATTAAATAACAGAATTATCAATTTCACTACAGTGACAGATCCACCTCAAATTAAAGTTGGCTATTCCAAGACTCCAGTGACAGTAACAGCTCTGGCAGCTAATACGGAAATTAGTTTCTCAAGTGATGTGACTTTTGTTAATGAAGGTACTTTGACATCTGTTAAGAAATTCTGTTTAATGTGTTATTTTAGACATTCTGGCTCAAAACCCAGCAAAAAAAAATAACCTAAGCATTAAAAAAAAATTTATGAGACTTTTATGGCGGTGTTAAATTTTTCCCGCAAAAATAAAAATAAAATTACTATATATTGGACCCTCAATATTCGTCTACGTCAATATTCATCTTTTTTTTTTTATATGCGTCCTGCTTTTTTGTAGAAATGTTATTTTGATATTCTCATGAAAATTCTATATTCATCCAACCTGGCTCAGTTCCAACTGCTTAAAATTAAGGAATGGCCATCCATTTGGGCTTAAATGCAGAAATTCCTTGAGAAAAAGCAATCAAAGATCGCTGTAATTAATCAGCATATCAATTTATTTGATGATGATGTATTTGGACCCTTACGGAAACTTTTAAAGAACTTGACACAATAAAAACATTGATTACCCGGTAGTTCTTTTTAAAAAAAATTAGTGCTGGTGAATTATCTGAAAATGCTGGTGAACCATCAGGACATCAGTCAACAAAATACCTGATGTCATAATGGAAGGTGACTACCGTACCAAACTATAGACTAATCTCTAAAGCATAAAAACGCTTAACAACATTCATTTTTTTTTCACCACCTCTTGTAGAACAATAAACCTTGGGTACGTGGGAAACGCACATTTACCACTTAATTCTATGTTTATTTGCTTTGGCAGTTTGGAAGGTGGAGAGGGGAGAAGGGGTTTCTCAAATGACGGTAACTTTCTGGTTAAAATTTAATTTACCTACTTATGTAGGCATACATTATATTTAAGGCATAACAATGAGTAAATCTCTGTCATAACATAAATTATTGATGAATAGTGGGCAATGTGAAATTCAAATGTATTTGCAATGATTTCTGGATTGGGTTTTTGACTGAATTTTTAGGGTTTATTATCAAAAATAGATTGGCCGGAATTAGGGAAAGTATTAAATCATTTTTAGTGAATTCCATTGTTAAAAATTTATTTGAATTTCTTCCTTTTTGAAATTCATCCTTCTTTTAACAGCGGATTAATAGCAAATAATTAGGGCCAACTGTAATTTAAATCTTTCTTGAATACATTTGAATTTCAAATAATTTTATATCATCATGTTACAAGACAAAGTTTAAAAAAAATTCAGTTGGCTATATTTTTTACAAAATGCTTTAAAGGTAACTAAATTTTAGTATTTGAATGAAATACATAGCATTTCTACAACTCCTAATTTGGCAGCCATTCGAACCAATGATAGCATTGTCGACAATAAAGTAAAAGGGAAAAATGGTTGAAACTGGTCTTGGCTCATCACCAGCTTATTCAATTAACTTGATGAAATTGTCTGTCAGCCCAGCAAGGCAACTATTCTTGGGGAGGAAATAAACGCTTATTAAATATTTCCAGCCATTGAGGTTGCAACATAGAACCCAACTTTGCAGCATAGGGATTCATTTAAAATCTGCTGTACAAATTACTTTAAAGATAGTTTTAAAAAAGACAAAAATCATGTTAATTGGTCTTTAAAAATGTGCTCCAATAGTGGATCAAACAATGACTGCAACACTCTTCCGGGCTGGGACTTATGGCATTGTGAGTATTGATTGGTCGGCTGGCTACACAGACCTTCCTGGCAATATAACCAATGGGGAGATAAGTCCAAACTTTGGTAGTGTCAATATGCGTCATGGTCAGGAACAGGCCAACATTACTGTACAGGTAGGAAAATAAATTAGACAGAGCTATCGTATTAAAATATAATTTTCAAGCATTTTTTTTTTTTTTTTGCCTTATGAGATTGGAGAGCCAACACTAAATAATTTGACCATTTAAATTAATATCTTTGTTATTCACAATTTTTAAATATTTATATATGTAGTCTTTTAAAACATTCATTTGTACCATCTATTCAGTTGATAAAATTTACTATCTACTAATAATTTGACGCCTGTTCATCCTAACATTTTAACATTCAATCAAATTTATTCATTGTTTTCAATAAATTTGATTACAGGTTTCACCAAAAGTCAATAAAACAGAAGCTTTTGTTCTCCGTTTGCCTCGAGCACCACAATCTTTTGTCAGTGGTGGTGCCAGGCTAGCATCCTCACGCATCATGATTAGAGCAGACCCATCAGGTGTTATACAGTTTGATGAACTCTCACTTGCTGCACAGGTTTCCGAGGTTGAAGGAATGGTAAAATAAAATTGGGTTATTCTTATGTATCAAATTTATTCTGACTGTAATCATAAATGAAACATAAAATTTGTTTAAATTTGAAAGAACTTGAAGATTGATAATGAATGAAGATTATGATTGATTATTTTTTTTTAAAATTTAAATGTTTAGTCTATCTTGTGTGTCTTCACTTTTAAACTATTCTGATAAAGAATTTAACATTTTAAAAATCAATTTATCTGTCAGATAACTTTAAAAGTCTTGCGTCTCTATGGTTCTGAAGACAACATTGCTGTTTACTACCAAACTGTACCAGGCTCTGCTCAGGCTTTTCTAGACTTTCAGTCTATTTCATCTGGGATTATTAACATGAAGCCTCAAGAAACTGTGGCAACCATACAGATTCAGGTTAGTAAAAATCAATTTCATTTACGATCTTTGTCTAAATTAGGGATGTCCAACCTTTTTGGGTCGAAGACTACAACCATCATTGTATAATAGTTCATGTATTACATCTACCTTAAAAAGGGAACACTAACAATTCTTAACATAAATCTCTGTTTGCAAATTATGAAAATGTAATTTTAATTAAAATAAAAAAAATGAAATGTAATTAGCTTTAATATGAAAATAATGTTATCTTTTTTTGAGAAACGCATATCTCTGACCTAAGTAGTCAGTTGTTACAATTTTTTAAATAACACATTATAATGTAATATCTTGTACAAAACACCTAAAAAACACTTTTATTTCTAGATATATCAAGACAACATTCCAGAGCAAACTGAGATTTTTTTTTTAAATTTGACAAATGTCGAGAAATTCCCAACACCACTGCAGCCAGGTAAATGTTTATCAGCACAGAAATTTGTATATATATATGTAATATAATATTATTTATATTGATTTGACATTTCTTCATTAAAAACTTTTCACTTTATGTAACAATGTTACATAATGTACCATTGCAGTTCTCAGCCCTCGATTGTCCACAGTGAAGTCCCTGAGCCAGATATCCATCATGGAAAGTAATGATGCCTATGGAGTTTTGTCACTAAAGCCTACTACCACTGACATTAATGAATCCTTTACTAACGTTACTTTATCAGTAATTAGAACAGGTTAGATTGAAGTTTTACTAAATTTTCCTATTTTAAAGAGAAGCCATGAAAGATTTGAATTTAAACTGCTCTCAAGGTATTGATTCAGCTGTTTGAAAATGAAATATTTTTAATTGTAACATATTTTTTTAGACTGCAAGGTTTTGTAATAAAAAGAAGTTATAATGCATGTTACTAATCTATATTTTTTAATCAGGTGGATTATTTGGTACAATTAGTGTAACAGTAAGGACAGTTGGGGGTGGAGAAAGTTGGACAGACCAGATTGTTGCTAATATCAACAGCCTAACAAATGATACCATAGCTGATATTTTGGGCAAACGCTCTAGCTATGAGTCTGCCACTGGTGGTATGGACTATGAAGTACTGAATACTGTTATAATATTTCAAGTAAGAAATTAATTTTCCCTGACAATGATCCTTTCACCTTAAGAAATCGCTTAATTTTTGTGTACTATAATTATATTGGTTTATGTATACACTAGAGTTTCATTATGAAGTATGATGTAAATGGACATATATATTAAAATATTATATATTTTAAAAAGACAACAATCAAATTTACAAATTTTTTGTAGTCTCAAGAATCTGAAAAAGCTGTAAAAATCACAATTTTGGAAGACAACTTACCAGAACCAAGAGAAAGTATTTTAGTCTACTTAACCCAACCCACTGGAGGTGCTAGGATAGCAACAGGAACTAATATAGATAGTGGACAAAAGGCAAGTTAAATGATTTCATTAAGCCAAGTTTTGAAATGATAAATTTATTTCTCAGGCTAGAAAAAGAAACAGGAATTTATTTGGAAATAGTCACTCCAAGACACTCAGTCTGTGACTTTTACCCTTACTGGACTTCATGGAATTTAGTGTTGCTTGGGTTTGAATTCTATAAAACTGGGAGTAATTCCAAGAATATTTGATTTGGTAGGGAGCTCTGAAGTTTCTTGAGCAAAATGTCCCTTCTTTAAAGACAATCACAGTTGAAAAAAAAATGATGAATTAATTACCTGAAAAATTTAGAAAATAAATGATTTTTTTAAAAATTCAACATCGTCATATACTTAGTTTAAATGTGTCTTTTGATACATGGAAACATAATATATTTTTCAAATTTAAAATAACATATTTCCATTTCTATTAATCGGAAAAATAACCTTTCATATAGTGTCTTTGATTTGGGGAAGTCCTTGAAGTTTTTTCAGCATTGCCCACAATGCCACCTGCTACAATTTAAACTAGAAGTGAGACACCACCCTTTAACTCTTTGCTTACTGCTAAGATACTTTTATTTCTGCAAAGGAAATCTGCTTTCTATTTTTCTAAAGGTTTAAATTACCTTTCTACAAAGCTATATTTCTATGTTTACTGCATCCTACTAGGGTTATGCTGTTATAAACATTGCTCCTAGTGATCTGAGTAATGGACTGATTGGTTTTGCTGAATCCTCTAAAAATGTTCATGTCAATGAAGATACATCACCTACACTTGTGCTGAAGTTGACGAGACTTAATGCTTTCTTTGGAGTTGTCAAGGTATCTATGTTAATGTGAATTTTTTCCTTTTGTAAAGTTCTTTTAACTGGAGCTGAATAGAAAGTTATTATCAGTAAATTTTTTTGTTATTTCTTTAAAAAAAATAAAAATGATAAAAATGTATTGCACACCACCACAGAATATAGAAATTTCTTTTCATATATTTGTTTTTCTTTTAGTTTTATATAGTACTTTGCTAACTGAAGAAAACAAAATATGAGCAACATCAACAGAATTCTACAGTTTTACTGTCAATGAGTTTTAATAAATTTCAGCTGAACAAGAGAATTAATGATAATCTTTTATGCTTTTTTCATTCGATCTCACAAGCAAATGCCAACTAATTCACATGCTATTTCTAATGACATGTTTTTCCTGTAGGTCAACTGGAAAGCCAAAAGAAGCCTAACCAGTACAGACCAAGATGATGCAGATTTATCTACCCAGCTTGTAAATGTGGCTGGTTCAACATTATGTCCAGCTGAACAAAGTTTGTGTGACCTCATTGTAGAAATAAAAAATGATGATGTGAGTATGAACCATTTTTTGTGAAGTGATCCTTTTTATTTCATTTTTTTAATATTGTATTGGGAAAAAGAATACAAATCAATTTTAATTTTAACTACTTTTGCAATCAGTCATATATTACTCATTAAAACAAGAACTCAGTACAGCAACTGCTCATTCCTGCCAAAGACAGGCGACTAAACTTGCCTCCTGTCTTCCAATCCCGGGTTCATAATACCATTGATGAGTAGCCCTTGCAACCAGTGAACTGTCCCCTTTAAAACCATGCACAGTTACTCTGCGAACCCTTCTACAAACATAGGAGCAAGAATGATCATGCATTATCGTTGGCCCACAAAATATAGAAGAAGAAGACTTAGATTAGATGTCATAGCATGAACTAATAATTTTAAACTAAAATCTTTTGAAATGCATTTTTATAAAGGATACATTTTAAAAGTTAAGAAAATACAATTTTGATTGGGGAAAGAAAATTTGTATGCATTCATTAAAAAATTTAAATTCAAAAAGAATTGTACCTTTTGTTGTACCAGATTCCTGAAGAAAGCTACACATTTATAGTACTTCTTACCAGTGCTGAGACTGATGCACATCTCAATGAAAACAGCTTGTCAGCAACAGTGACCATTGATCCAAGTGATAATGTTAGAGGACTTTTACAGTTTGCTCAAAATTCCAGGTTATTACAATTTTAATTCATTTTTTGGCCAGAGAAATAAAATAATTGAAAAAAAAACTTACTATTTATTATTCATATCCACAAAAGAAATTATATTAACCAATGTATGGCATCTTTCCGTCTGCGGGAGACAATAGATTATCTTTATTGCTTGCACCTCTTGGTGTGGCTGGTGAGACCAATATTAACCAATATGCTACCTAAATAAACACCTCCTTAATGCACTCAACTGTATTATATGTGATATATTTTTTAGTTATAATTAAAAAATGTATTTTCAAATAACTAGTTTATTTTTTTTAAATTTTAAAACAGAGAAATAAAACAAATGTACTACTGTTATACTTTTAATTAGAAGTGCACATGTGAAGGTGAAAAGTAGAGCAATCCTTCTGTGTCTTTTGATTATGACTTATAATAGTTCGATGCCATTTCTTGGGCTTACTAAAATAATCAACTTTTATGTAAAAATGTGATTCTTATTTAAAGGGTAATGATAGTAGGAGAAAATGCCAGAACTGTTCGGCTTGCTGTTGAGAAAGTCTATGGGCAAAACTATGAAGTAACTGTAGCTTACAACACCCAGCAAATGACACAAAGTGCTGAAGTCGCTGGAGTAAATGTCTATCCAGCACTTGATGCACAAGATTTTCGAGGTCAAACAGGAACTTTGATATTTCCTGCTAAAACCCAGGTCTGTTATGATGACTTTTTTGTTTTCCTAAGGCTTCAGACTTTAAAAGATTATAGGTGTTTTGTATCCTTGAAAAAACTACAGATTATATTGTTAAGGATATAGTCATTACTTAAATAACAAAAATATTCATTTCTTACAAAAGACTCAAGTTAAAATGTTTTGAATAATTATTTTTTTAATTACAGACAATACAGTTTGTTGAAATTAGTCTTACTCCTGTGCTGGCATCAGATAATCCTTTGCCCAAGCAATTCTACATAACACTATATTCTCCTTCCAGTGAAGCTAGGTTGGTTACTTTCTTGAAAACTCTTAATAGTATATTATCGGTTTTATGTTCATTCACGTTTTACTGTCACAGGCTGTTACATAGATAAAATTATCCAGGAAAGAAAGCTACTTCCCTCAAAAACCTTCTCATCTCTTTTAGTTTATTGTTTTTATTTAAAACAAAATTTGGGAAATGAAGGTTTTATTTAAATTTGCAACCTCTCATTAAAAAACCAAGAACATTTTAATCATACGTAGTTATTTATTTAATATTTGATGTGATGAGATAACAGTTAATGAAAACTGTATTGTGCAATGCATTTGACAGCGTCAATCCAAATGCAAGCAGAGCTATTGTCAGAATAGTGAGGGAGACAGATGTTCCTATCTGGACAGTCTTCAGTCAATCTGGAAACGATTCCTTTTCAAGGGATGTAAACATTATGTATGTATTTTAAGAAATTAATTGGCGTATTTGAAAGTCTTTTTTTACTAAAATCTGAAACTCACATACCTAACTTTCAGTAAATATTAATAGTCAGAGATTAACACAAAAAAAAAGGTCTATCATTTGAGTTATCTAATGAATAAACCAGACATAAGTTTTACAGTCAACAATATTCAAGTGCCTCATGTCATACTAAAAAGTGATAATTTATACACATTACAACTTGTCATAAAAAAACAATACGTGTACTTAGCGATTGAAATACTTAATTTTAGAACTCAGTCTTTCACCTAACTAGAAATGTCGATGTAGCCCTCAGTAATATTTCTTTAAAAATGCACTACAAGATGCATATTTAAACCCACAATCATCTGATGAAATCATCAGAAAAACTGCAAAAACATGATGCAAGTTCACCAGTTCAAAACTACATGACTTTTCCATGTAAAACTAACTCCCTGTAAAATCATCATGTCATGCAAAGTTAATATCCTTTAGTCAAAATTATAATAATTAGTAAATCTAACAAGTCTTAGTATTCCTGCTTTTATAGTAAATAAAAATATTTATACACTAATATCAATGAAGGCATTTCAATATATTCAGTTGAGTTAGACAATAAATTAAAAAAGCGATGATTTGCAAGTGCTGATTTTAAACAAATTTCATCCGGCAGTACTACTATAGGTCAGCTGGATAACCTGGCACAAAAGACATTGACTGTTGAAAACATACTAATCATAGAAGATGTATTAAAGAAAGTAAATGAGGAGGGCAATCAGAGAAAGTAAGAATAATTTTTTTTTTTTTGATAAGAAACATAATTTTTCAAGTTCTACAGGATTAATGGGACACAAAGAAATTGTGTAAATAAAACTCTATGTTAAGCATAAAAATTCAAAAGTCCTGCCATACATATATTATGTAAATTTAATTGATAATTATATCAATGCTTTTTGTTGTTCTGATGAAGGCATTTGCCAAAAGGTTTGAATTTGTATATTGTGTAATCATAATTAAAAGCTTAACATATATTGTTTTATTTACACAATTTTGGTGTCTCATTAATCTGCTTAAAAGCTTTATCGCAGTCCAACCCTATTATAATTAGTCATTCAAGTTATACAAAATAGATGTTTGTTGTCGGCAAATAACAGTAAGCACATCTTTTTAATTTGTTTCGACTATTTAGTCAATGGACTGTTGGGATTTAAAGTGAGAGTTAATTTTTTTTAATATTTGATTGGTCGCATCTGATGCAACTTGTTTTCTTCTTAAAAATAAATAAACTTTTTTAAAATTTAGTTTTTATTTAATTCCTTTGAACCGGTGTCATGGAAAATGACTGTCCATTTTTCTAAACCAAGTGCATAATTAAATTAAACTAACCCAATTCTCAGGAAATTTTGAAGTTTATAAAATTATTTATTTGTCAGGTTACCTACAGAAGTCATCACAGCAGTCAAAGATCTGTATTGCAAGCTTTTAGATGAAGCCATTAGTGATGCTAGAAGAGGTCGTAATCCATTGGCTAACCTATTGGAGAACTTTGCGTATACTTTCATTAAAGACAATTCTTGTCCCCCAGCTATCAAAGATGATGTGTAAGACACATTTGCTCATGTGTTTAGTGTTTGCATTTTCAGAATTTTTTTTTTAATAAGGATTAATTATTGCTTTAAGTAGACTCAGATGATGAGCCAGATAGCAAAACAAGAGAAACATTAAAGCTGAAGAATAGTTAGATTTAAAAAATCTATCTCTGTTTACCTTTCAGAACAAGCTTTCAATGTTCATCTGTTACAATAAAAGCTGGAAGGTGGAATCTAAATCAACTAGGTGGACATGAATTTAGTATACAGTAAGTGTGATAGTTTAGTATGCTTTGAGATTTTGAACTACATGTTGGGAGAGAAAAATCTGTCATGAAATTGTTCTTATTATTAAAATGTTAATTGATTGCTATTAAAAAATAACAAAATGTAATTCTAAAACCATCAATTATGCAGATCAAGAGGTACATTTGCAGCAGCTCAGCCCATGCCTGATGTAGACAGATCAGCTGATGGTGCACAAGATGAAGTAAGTTATCAGTTCATGGATTTACTGATCTAATCTTTAATTATTTAGTGCTTGATTATATGAATGTGATAAAAAATAATATGTTAGAATATGTTATTCTTTTTTTTTTTTAAATTAACCACTTACAAGATGTGTATAACACATAGCTATATATTTATATAAAAAAAATTTATGTTAAAACATTTCTTTTTCAGTGTGTTGACTTTCATTTTTTGGACTATAACAGCCAAACTTGGTTTTATACAAGTAATGGGGAAGACAATCTAATGAATCAGAAGGTAGATTTAATTAATTCTGAGATATACAAAAAAGAAAGTTGTAATATTTTGATTACAGATTGTATTAAAAGATGTTTAAGTAAATTTAATGTATTAATAGAAAAAGGTTTTCTTAGATTAACCTATTCGTTCCATAGTAACATTTTAAAATATTTTATTAGAATAATGTTGTTAGAGTCATGTTTAAAAAATGTGATATTATATCCTACGTCACCACAGTTTTGTTTTATGAAACCAAAAAAAAAAAAAAAAGATGTCTCTTGGAGCAATTAATATTTGACTTGTATCTTTGAACATGCATTTTTAATTATTTTAATATAAATCAGGTCATTGGCTTTGGGTTGAAGGGTAGAGCCTCTGGTAGTATTCAAAACCCAGTTAAATTTAGGATACATACTCCTGACAGACGCATTGCAGCAAGAGGGGCAAAGTAAGTGGATATTTAAATTAAATATATAATTCATTACCAATAAAAAGAAACTCAGCTTAAAAACAGCACTTAACTGAAATGGAAATTTATTTAAGGGTATAACTTATTTCCTTGTCTCTGCTCAACCACAGATGTGTTTATTTTGATGAGGGTTCTAAAAAGTGGGTTAGTCCTAATGATGTTTGTCAGGTGAAAAATGACCTGACTCAAGCAGAGGATGACTTTGTTGACTGTGAGTGTACTCATATGACAAGTTATGCTGTCATTGCTACTACACGGGATGAGAATGTAGTTGGTTATACTGTTTGGTTCTATGTCATCTGCTTTATCTGCATGGTGAGTTCTATTAATTTGAACAATATTTCATCTGTTATTTTACTCTTTTTTTTTTCATTATACTTATTCTGATTATTTTATAGCTTTAAAATTGATTAATACCATGAGCATTTGCTTTTATTGACACCCAATTTGTTTCTATATTTTAATTCTATTATTCCCTCAAAGTTATAATTTTTACATTTCACCATCTTCCTCTCCATAGGCCTCAATGATGATAGTGGTGTGTGTCCATCATTTATGCTTTAAGAATGCATCATTCTCAGCAAGCATGAACACACATTTTTTTATGGCTATATTTTTCTTTCAGGTTTGTCAATTTTTATGGCTTAACTTAATATAATACTAAAAGTATGACCATTATAACATGATTTTGTCTAAGAATTATTTATCACAACATCTTGTCAGTCTTGAAAAAAATAAGAAAAAAAATGTTCTCGCATATAATGGAACTAAAATTTTAAACAAAGCAACCCTTTTTGTGCTAAAATCTGGATCTATAATGCCAGATTATTTGTTCATCTTGTTTGACAGTGTGTGGTTTGTTGTAAGATTTCAATTTTAAAAAATGTAAAATATGAAATAACTCTTTTTTAATAGCTGTGCTTAGTTCTGGATGCATTTCTCTCCCCTGATGAAATTCTTGCCTACAATACTGAAATGAACAACTCAAAGTGCATAGCCATGGGCTTATTCTTACATTACTTTTTCCTTGCACAGTTCACATGGATGGCTACTCAGGTATTTATAGCAATCTGTTTCATTTAACCAGGTTAAAAAAACAATAATTTAAAGAGAAAATAAAAATTGCTTTTGGATTTGAGAAAACACAATTCTGATACCAGTTTTTTTCTTTCTTCACAATCTACCAGAATCACTTTTCTAATAGTTTAAAATCTTATTAGTTTAATTTTAATGGTGTTCATCAAAATGTAATGTTTTCATTTTGTTTAAATCTTAAAGGCAGTAAATCTTTGGAAGGTGCTCATTATGAATGATGAGCACACAGACAGACATTATATTGTATTTTTTATCATGGGATGGGGTAAGTACTATATTGGGAATTTATCAGTTTATTTTAAAACAATAAACTTTGAATTATTTTGATAAAAGTCAAGAGACACTGTTTTATACTTTTATAGTTTCACAATATTCATGTATCCTTCATTGACAGTTTCGCAATATTCATGTATCCTTATTTAGCAGTTTCAGTATTAATTCTAGTGTTAAACATTTCAGGTGTTCCACTTATACTTGTCGCCATATTCTATGCTGTTACCTTTAACATCTATAAGTACCACACAAGCATAGAAGTGGACTTTATATATGGCGATGTCAACAATAATAGAGATATGTAAGTATTTCAAAAGATATAACTTTTCATTTTAGGCTTTTTTGATGTTTTAATGTAATAAATCTGTACAAATGGAGAAATCAATTGCAAGTTTTATTACACAATTTTTTTTCCTAATAAACCATTGCAGGTTTATGAAAATGCTGTTAAAGATGTGATCAGCTAAATATAGTTTAAAGTTATTTATTTCTACAGCATTACAGATTTATGGTTTAACATCCTTACACAATGTTGTGTGTCACTTCATACCGTTTGTTATTTATAGAATGAAGATGGTCAATTCAGTTTTTTTTTTTTAATAATGTATAAATATTTATTTGCTTCATATTTTTATACTACAAGTAGAGAAATAAAAAAATTAAAACGACAACAAATTCTCTGCCATCCAGATGTTTTATCACAAATGCTTATGCTGCAATTGGTGGCATTCTAGCACCTGTGCTATTTGTCTTACTGCTTGCTGCCATTGTGTTCGTAAAGGCGTATCAGCTGGCAGCTCAGTGGAATCTATATGATGATCTCTACTTTGGCAGGTACAATAACAAAGGTAGGCTACAGATCTTAAGATTTCTAACTATATTTGAGTAGAAAAAGAATTAAGAAAATTATTTTATAGAAAAATAAGTGAAATAATTTGATGTTTTACTATAGAAATTAGATCTGATTGTATGAGTTAGGCATTCACAAGTTCATATTGACACAAAATTATATGTGTAATATATAACTAGTGTAAAATATCATATGCATTTTTTTTCTCTTAAAGAGTTTAATGAAATTAGAACACTTTCTCCAAATTCTATTGATTGTTGATCTATATCTAAAAATAATCATTGTCATGAAAATCAATTTCACACTAGATGTCTCCACTGTTTCTTATTGTGTCTTTATTCAAATTTGCTACCTGTGTTTTTTTCATAAATTTATGTATTAGATAAATGGAAATAATAAATATTTTTATTGTTTTAAAGTAAATTTAAATTAGCAATATAGTTTAGTAGTGAATGTAAACTTTACTAAACATCCTTAAGATAAAAACAATTATTTCAGAGAAACCTTTTGATTGACCAACGTTAAAGTATGAATCTGGTTTTTGAATTTTGATACCCTTTTAGTTACTTTTATAGAATTTGTTTAACTTCTCTTCATCTTTTGTCTTATCTATTTATGTGATATTTAAATTCATATTTGTTTTCTCTGCCACAGAAATTCCTCTACTTCTAACCATCTGGGGAATACTGTTGTTGACATGTTTATGGCTGGCACTTCATATGATTTATGGCTTTCTCTGGATGTTGGTGCTCTTCTGTATTTGTAATTTAATTTTGGTAAGAAAGGTCTTGTTAAAGTTTAAAGATTTGTATATATAAATATTTATAACATCTTTATTTAGGGAAAACAAATATTTTTCTTTCTGCTTTTTTAAAAAAACATATAATTTGGTTAAGACTGCATATTCTGCAAAGAAAATTTTATTTTTATTTCATCAATTGAAATTAGTTTTAATTTTCTTAGAATTTTCTCTTTTTTTTTTGTAATGAGCTATGAATGAAATTTTCATCACTCATCTCTAGAAACCTAATTTTAAATCCCTTGTTTTCAAACAGGCCATTTTAGTGTTTGTGCTGTATGCAGTAATCCGTAATCCCCTCCTGGCCTTCATATTTGGTCCCACTAAAGCTTCATATTCTGTGTCTGGTGAGCAGCCAGATGACCTCGCAGCTTTTCCTGCCCCAGACAAACCTTTCCAGCACTATAACACCAATGGGAGTGTCAAGGGCTCACACATATCGTTACTGAATGATGTATGTATCTTATTTATTACAAAAACAATTCACAAGCAGCTGACATTTTTCAGGCTTACATAATTATCTGCCATGGATGATCGGTTTTTATATCTTATTGCAGTTGTATAATTGTTTTGTTCAAAAGTTCAATTCATTCATTGTATCTAAAATTTAATCCAACTTATAGATGGAATCCAAGAATGACAACAGCTCTGCCTGACAAAATTTTATTTCAAATCAATATATAATTTATTTGTTTAATAAGTACAGATATTTAAGTACAGAAAATTCTAAGTTTATCACATATTTTCCAGGCCTGGGAGAACAATACAACAGGGGGCAGGAGCAGGATGACAGTGAGACGTGCCCTCCCCTCCCAAGTGTACATCAACCCCCCTGTGGCAGTGATAAGCCCCACAGCAACAATAGATAGCGACAACCCAGACTTTGAAGAACTTATCTATGCACTAAAGATGGGTCAAAGCATGAGCTCTAGTGAACTTTCTAGGAGCTTTGATGATGACATGTCACAGTTGTCCATTATACTTGACAAGTATGAAACAAAACGTATTGACATTGCTGACACACATGTATAAAGATTTAAATATTTAAACCAGCTGAAATTTTTAAATATTTAATTAATTTTTTGATGATCAAATGCTGTGTAAATATATTTATTGTAAAAAAAAAAAAGTATTGAGGTATCGTCTATAAGTCATCGATTTTACTTTTCAATATTTTTGTGAATCAATTGTTGCTTTATTTAGTCTGTATAATTTTTAAGTTATTTGACAATAATATTAATTTTATTATGAAATGCTTTGTTTGATTCTTTTTAGTATAATAAAACATTCAGAGAAAATAAATCTCTTTTTTTATACAATTTTATCAAAGATTACACAAGTTTTTTAAATATATTACTTACCATAAAATGTATCTGACAAAATAAATGCATTCTATTAAATTTATGGTTTTCAATATTTGTTTGTTTTTTTTGTAGTCATTTAAAATATTCATTGTGTGTCAAATATTTCCAGATGTCAGTTACTCTTGTGTGAAAATGAGTAATAATTGCAATGTGTCTATTATTCTTCCTTCCTTTTATTTAATTGACAGATGCAAAAACAGATGACATAAAAATTATAATGTAAAATTGTTTAATTTATTATTATTAAAACAAACAAGTTACACAAATATTTCTCAAAATATGTCATTGTTATTTACAAAACAAAGTTGATAGTTTGCTGTGTTTATAGTTATTATAAAGTATAGTTTGCTATTTAATAATGAAACTTATAATTTAACTTTTTATTTTTTAACTGCTAAGATAAAATCATGTTTTTGTAAATCATTTTAAAAAATGTATAAAAACTCGTCAATATTCATGTTTCTAATTATTGAAAGCCACAGTACTTAAAACTCTGTGTTTTATTCAATATTTAATAAATAAAAAAATCATAATATTTTACAATTACAAAACCCATTAAGTCAACTTTCACTTTGGCTGGATGATGTCTACATCTATGAATGAAATTATCAATGATAGTCTTAGTGAAGATCTGTATTTACAAACTAAGCCTAGAGATGTGTGAAACATATTATTTTTATTATATTCAGTTGAAAGCAGTGCTATAGCCATTGTCTTAGACAATGTATTAATGGGTGACATTGTTAATATTTAGATTAGACAATTTAAAAAAAAAAAATGATATCCATTCAATTGGGAATTTACTTTACAAAATTTCCTATACTATGACAATTTATGTTAGAAAATATTTTGTGAAGCTTTTTGTTCTAAATTTAAATGTATTTTAACAACTGATTAAGTCACATGTACTTTCCTAATTGCTTGATAACTTGATATTTTTTAATACACTGTATGTCCTTTACACACTGTTAACACACTGATACATTTATAAAATAAACATCTTTTAAAATGCATCAATCTTTTTGCAATTATTTTCTAACTTATTTTTCTGGTGTTCTATTTTAAGCTTCAACCTGTGGGAAAAAAAACTGCACCCAAATTTAAAAAAAAACTAAAAATAAAAGCTGTACAACAGCACGAACAACTGTGCAAAGGGAAAAGGGGGGGGGGGAGTAAAAATAAAAAAAAAAAAAACAAAAAAAACTTTGTCATAATTTTAAATAATTTAAAATAAAAAAACAGCAACAAAAAATAAAAAAAAACCAAAAAAAAAAACAGGAAAAAAACAAAAAAAAATAGGAAAAGAAAAAAGGGGGGAGGGGAGTGAAAATTAAAAAAAAACAAACAAAATAAACTTTGTCATAATTTTCAATAATTTAAAAGCATGAATTTTAAATAAATGAATAGTCTCCCCTTCACTGCGCGCACTTTTAAAAACAATGTTTTATACTAAATATATATATATATATATCGTATCTTTTAAATGAACATAGTTTTCAGTCAGTTTTGTCAAATGTTGAGTTTACACACTGATCAGTTACAATTTAATGAAAATATATAAATGAAGAATTTTTAAAGCAATTTAAATGTAATTAGACATAATTCTTTTGTTCATCTTGTCACGTGTAGTTTTACTATACAGAATCACGGAATTATTTAGTTTTGCCCACCGCATAACTACCAGACTTTCTGATGTCTACTATATAAGAAACACGTTATTTTACTTTGTTAACTAAATAATTCCGTGATTCTGTATAATAAAATATTAAATGGATAAATCCAACAGTTATTTTGCATGCAACTGTAGTAATAGTTTTCTCCTAGTGTAATGTGTAGGCCTTGTCTTCAAATGTTCTATAAAAACAAGTGAGTATAATGATGCAAAGTTTCTTCATTACATGACAAGCATACTATGTCTTTATTTATATATATGGCCATATCAGCGCCTGGGCCCAAAGTTAGGTCTGGTGACTAAACCCAAGAGATTTTTGTCTGAGTCCAATTCAATGACGCTGCTAGTGTTTAGTGCCGCCTTGGGCGAGCCAAGACTTTAGCAGCCCTCTTCCGAGACTCTACACTTTTTCGAAAGTGTCACCCCTCAATAAAAAAGGGGGGGAGGGGGGATTTGACGCCCAGGGTAGTCCATCCCCTTCCAACGCCGCTGGTCACATTCCAATTCGAACGCTTTCATATAACTGGTGGTTAGAAATAAGAAATCTTCCATTGTTCAAGTTTTGGGCAGTAGAGAATTGAGACTCAAATCAGTGTGGCAATTAAAGTGCTTGAAAACCACGTCTTTTGAACGATGAAATATATTTGTTAAAGACTTTCAAAGCCCCCACTGAGACTTAAAAGTTTGAGACTTTAGGTTTTCAATTTGTAATTGCTATTTTCATCTTTAAAAAAAAAACTATTTGACATCTGCTTCCATGTTAATTATATGTTACTCCAATACAAATTTTGCCACAAATAACCGCGCACACATTTCTAAAATGTCCATCCAGGAGCCAGAGAGTTGGAAGAAGGAAAGAGATTGACCACCGAGCCAACTCCAAACTGCGACCACCGGACGGAACGAGTTTACACTGACCACCAGCCGTACACGAAACGTCAGACAGGAGGCTAACAAAGTAGGAGATGTTTACAAAGACGATGACCACTACGGCCACGCCCGTGTCAAGTAGCTTTGGCGCGTAGGCCAGCGCATCTTCGTTGACTGATCTGAGTGATCTGTTCATCTTTAGCCCTCCCCCAGTTACATTCTCGTAGCCCGGGGTAATCTTTTTGACGCAATATAACACAAACGACGTCATTATTGTGATAAAAGCCAGCCCCAGCGGGAGGAACCCCCATCCAACGACAAGAGCCAAGCTGTAGTGATACGAAATGGCAGAATATCGAGTAGGCATTGTCATGAAGAGCTTATCTCGGGGCACAGTTGAAAAAGTTGTTCCACGTTCTTTGTACTGAATGAAGATTTGGGACCATGGGGCCAGGGACAGCAGAACGAGGGACAGAGCTCCGTATATCCACGGAATCCAGAGACTTACAAACGTTTCGGTAATTTTCCTACTTGCACCGATGCCGCTGAGCCTATTCACGCAGTAATCTATTCCGACGAACGTCAGGCTTAAAGCCAGCACAGACGGCACACAGAACAGGTGCACGCCGTTCAGGACAGCGGTCAGAGTCTCACCGCCGACACCGTCCATAACAAGGCAGTTCATGGTGTCAAACGGGAAGTACGCCAGGCCAGCTGCGATGTTAGCCAGGCTGATGCTGGCGATGACATGGAACTTGTGCTGCCTCCTCAGAAAATGTGATGTAAAAATAATTATGATCACTGCGGCATTGAGCAGCAGAATGAGAACACAGAAGACAATGTTTTGCTTGGCTCTAATTGTGTCAGGGTGGGATAAGCTTGTAGTGTCTTCTCCAGTGAAGCTCATTTTTTGATTACCCAGCCAGGGAAATGGTTTCTCATTTGAAGTGTCTTCTTGGGGGAATGGCAGTGTTGTCTTTCTAAATGTTCCATATATTGTTCTAAGCTTTTTATTTTATATGATCCATCTGGATTTTAGTAATATAATGAATGTTGTACGATGTATCTCGAAAAAAAAACTCCCAGCAAAGTGGACTCCATTCATTAGCGTCCAATAGTGTTTATGACAGAAGGCTTATTCTTATACCATTAATGCCAGTGGATTCGAGATATTCCCAGATTTCAGGATAATAGATCTGAAAAAGAAAGAAACAAAAGCAATAAATTTAAAAAAAAAACCTCTTGAAGCTATCAAACTGAATGTTCCCACAAAAATTCACTTACAAAAATAAATATATGATCTGTACATTAAAAAAAATGTATTCATTTTATATTTCAAATTGAAATGTTGCTATGAGGAATATAGTATTGAATTTTAAGATACAGCTGTTACTAAAACGATCAAACAGCATTTAAAATATAGATTGGAAGGTAAGAGGTCCTTCACGCGTCTTTAAGACATTTGAACAATCTGACATTTGAACAATCTGACATTTGAACAATCTGACATTTGAACAATCTGACATTTGAACAATCTGACATTTGAACAATCTGACATTTGAACAATCTGACATTTGAACAATCTGACATTTCAATAGTCTGACATTTGAACAATCTGACATTTGAACAATCTGACATTTGAACAATCTGACACTTCAATAGTCTGACATTTGAACAATCTGACATTTGAACAATCTGACATTTGAACAATCTGACATTTCAATAGTCTGACATTTGAACAATCTGACATTTGAACAATCTGACATTTGAACAATCTGACATTTCAATAGTCTGACATTTGAACAATCTGACATTTCAACAGTCTGACATTTGAACAATCTGACATAAGGACAATCTGACATTTGAACAATCTGACATTTCAACAGTCTGACATTTGAACAATCTGACATATGGAAATCTGACCTTTGAACAATCTGACATTTGAACAGTCTGACATTTGAACAATCTGGCCAAATTAAGATGTTAAATTAGGATTCATCAGGATAATTTTCTCAGCGACAATTTTGTTATTTCTGTTGTCTTTTTTCGATTAATTCTTATCACCTCTTTTTAGTAATAATTAGTCAAAATGTCTACTCATTATACAAAACAATTATGTATGCTTATTATTGTTATTTATTATTGCGCCCACCCCCCCACCCCCCCCCACCCCCAATTTTTAAAAATAGTTTTTCCTTTTATTCTTTCTTGCCTACTACTAAACCTTCTAACAGCATTTCTCCTCTTATCCCATCCACCTTCCCATACGAACTCCCCTTCAACAATGAAACACCCCTTCCCACCCCTCACCAATGAAACACTTCCTTTTACCACTCACTAATGAAAAACCCCTTCTCTCCACTCACCTCTCTTCAAATGAAACACTCCCTTTTACCAATCACTAATGAAATACTTCCTTTTACCACTCACTAATGAAACACTTCCTTTTACCACTCAATAAGGAAACACTCCCTTTCACCACTCACCAATGAAACACTCCTTATCACCCCTCACCAATGAAACACTCCCTATCACCACTCACTAATGAAACATTCCCTATCACCACGCACTAATGAAACACTCCTTATCACCACTCAACACTCACTAATGAAACACTCCTCATCACCACTCACCAATGAAACACTCCCTATCATCCCTCAGCACTCACCAATGAAACACTCCCTATCACCGCTCACCACTCACTAATGAAACACTCCCTATCACCACTCACCACGCACCAATGAAACGCTCCCTATCACCACTCACTACTCACCAATGAAACACTCCCTATCACCGCTCACCACTCACTAATGAAACACTCCCTATCACCACTCACTACTCATCACTGAAACAGTCCCTATCACCACTGACCAGGTCTTTCTTGACTATTTTGAAGAACCCATTCCTAACTGAATTACAATATTTAAATAGACAACCTCCTTAAAACAAAATAAAATGGAATATGGGGGGTGGGGCTGAAAATTTGAAAGATTGCCATCGGAAACCAGGCTATGTACCCAGTTTCAGCTCGATAGGTTGACGGGTAGTGGGTCAATTAGCCGTCAGAACTTTTGCCATGCGCCCAGCCAGAAAGAAACACAAGAACAAAAGTGAAACTAATATATAAAGAATTTAAAAAGAGAAAATTTGAATTTTGAATATCAAGACAATCAAAATGGACGTTTCGACTGAAAGTCTAGCCACCCACACCCCGTAACAAAAACTAAATGGAACAAAATCAGATAAAAGATACAGGTACTTGCTTTATTGGCATTCAGTTGGACAATAGGTACTATTCTTAAGTGGTTAAACGAATTAACTCTGATTGATAAGACCATGTTTCATGTAGACTGTGGGTATTATTCTTCAGTGTATAAACGGCTTAACTCTCATTCGATCATGTTTCTAATATCGAACCCAAGACTTTGGTGCTCGCTTTATTTTACCACGCATCCGAAGCAGAGACGACGCATCTAAATGTGGCATAAAAATTCTTTTTTTTTTCCCCTTCACCAAAGTAACAGTGGTATAAAAACAGTTTAAGAAAATAACGCTGTTTTAAATAAATACCTAACTAAGCCCTGTATAACATGATAACTGCGTACACCAATTCCTTACCCTAATCGCTCCTCTCATGACAAAGACGATAACCTCCTCAGCAATGCCACAATTTTAAGAAATTCAACGTGCCCCGTCTATTTATTTGACTCCCCCTTATACTGCACCGCAAGCAGCTGTTTTCGGGTACGCAGACCTGGGTGCAGTGGCGATACTGCTGCAATAGACAGGCATAAGTGCTGCCATATCAACCCAACACCATCCCATCAACTCTTGATTTAAGACTGCTCAATGCTTTTTCGGCGAACTGTTGAGATACATATTATGCATTATAGGACCCACATTTTAACACATGTTTACATTTCTGTAATAGTGCAAACGACGAAGAGCCGTTCTGGGTTGCTGCATTAAATCTTTATTTCCCCATCTTGTTTCCGTTGTGTGTCTTTAAAATGCGTACATTTACGCGATGCTTGTAAAGCTTTGGATGGAACAGCTTACAATGAGAGGATTCTTATAAAGTCTTTTAAAAAAACCAAGATGATCCTCCTTCGTTGCTTTTATTACACGTGTTGGAAAAGTTTTCACCACCCCCATCCATTGCGTACATCCATGCCAAATGGTCCGCCTTTGGGTTTTTACACAGGAAAAAAATACAGTTACATACCTGGTCAGACAGGTGAGGGCTGGCAAAATACGTTCCGTAACTTGCCGTAACAGTTTTACGTTTAGTGCCAAGTGAGACGTTTTAAGCCGAGGCAAGGAATGCCAGCAAAATATCTCGCTTTAAACTTACTTGTCATACACCATGCTAGCGGTGCGCACACATCTTGGTAGGTCTGCCATTGAAATTGAACCATGATACTTTTAATATCTGATGCACGTTACTTTGGCGACTCGGCTATTTTCAGACGCGTATTTTGACTTTTGCCCCCCCCCCCCCGGCATAGTAGATATTTTCTGCATCAAATAGTTACATTATGGCTCGCATACTTGAAATATTGCTTAAGACACTGACACATTAACCATAATTTAAATATAATTGAAAGGTTTCATTAATACAATATACATACAGTCATAAACAATTGTTTGATTAAACTGTGTCGTGACATTAAATAAACTGAAATAACTACCCATACTAAGTTTACATTTATGAGCTGAAATCAAAATTAGGTCATTCGGTGAATTCCGCGGCATTCTAATTGATGTCCACCAAGGCCTTAATTTTCCTCTCAGTGACCTCCTTTTATAGTGAAGAGGTACGATTCGGGTGTTTTGTGTGTGTGTGTGTGGTGTGGGGAGGGATGGAGGAGGTAAAATGAACGGACACCTCTTACGACACCACGTCTATAAACCTGCCATCAAAGGTGAAAACTGGGTAGAGGCATTAAAAGAAAAAAAAGGAACGATTAAAAAAAAACGCCAGTGAGATAGAATTTACCACGGAAGGTAGCACATCTCCAAAAGGTAGGAGGGGGGGGGGAGGGAGGGGGGGGGAGGGGGGAGGATGACGAGAAATCGATATAGCTGAAATACGCTTTTATCTTATTATTTGTCTTTGATTCTTATGACAATGTTCTTATGACAATGTTCTTATGACAATGTTCTTATGACAATGTTCTTATGACAATGTTCTTATGACAATGTTCTTATGACAATGTTCTTATGACAATGTTCTTATGACAATGTTCTTATGACAATGTTCTTATGACAATGTTCTTATGACAATGTTCTTATGACAATGTTCTTATGACAATGTTCTTATGACAATGTTCTTATGACAATGTTCTTATGACAATGTTCTTATGACAATGTTCTTATGACAATGTTCTTATGACAACGCTCTTTTCATAATGTTCTTATGACAATGTTCTTATGACAATGTTCTTATTACAATGTTCTTTTCACACTGTCCTTATTACAATGTTCTTATTGCAATGTTCTTATAACACTGTGGCCTGCGGTTACCGGAAATTTGATCGAAAGAAATTTCGTCGACGGTAAATTGATCGACGGTAATTTGATAGAGCGAAAATTTGGTCGAATATTTTTTTCAGTTTTTTACGTTAAATTTTTCGTCAAATTTCTTTTTGAACGCACTATACTTTATAA